TTACACAGTAGAATGGTAGAACGCAAAATCTGCCAAATTGTCAAAAACAAAATGTAGGGATTACCCTGCCTTCAAAGCCCCAGGGGTGCAGAGTGGTACAGAGTCACTCCTGTGTAGTTAAAAACCAAAAAAACCAACCAGTTTATGTTAAGTGGACTCCAACTCACAGTGGCTGCAGGTGTGTCAGAGCAGAACTGGGCTCTCTAGGGTTTCCAATGGCTGATCTTTCTAAAGTAGGTCATTAGGCCTTTCTTCTGAGGTGCCCCTGGGTGGATTCAAACCACCAACCTTCCGGTTAGTAGCTGAGCACAATTGGTACTTCAGGACAACTTTTGTAGGTGGGAGAGGAGAAACTGCAAAACACTGGCCTAGACAGTGAGAACAAGAGACACTTCCCAATGTGTAGTTTCAGGCACCTGAGACAAATGTCATCAACAGTTCTACTCTGTCACATGGGGTCACTACATGGGGTCGTTATGAGTTGGAACAGACTTGATGGCACCCAACAACAAACTTAGATTGATCATAGTTACTCTGAGTAAATTAAAACCAGCAACTGTTCACATGCAAGTGCTTTAGTCATCTTGGAGTTTAAAAAAGGCTTATTATATGAAAGCAGAGTAACTCAGATAATCTTAGAAATGTCTAGCATAAAACAGCAACATTATGAATTTCAAGAGGTAACAATACCAGCTTACATAAGCCAGATTTCTCTCTAAAGTATCTCTTCTTCATCCATCCTATAAGGAGTTATTTTGAGTAACAAAGATTTTTTAAATTGAGTAAGTTTTAGACATTCCATGATAAACAGCTACCACTAGGAGTTCCTTCTTCGAAGTCCTACCTCCCACCATTAATCAATTCTATGATCAGCCATCACATTTACGAAGAAATCTGAAGCAATGAAGATATCAATGTTGCCAAATGCCTAATATATAACCAGACATGGCACCGGACCAGACGTGTCACCACTCTGCTCCCAATACCCCTTTAGGTAGATATTATCATATCCTTTTTTAATTGTTGAGTTCTCAGAAGCTCAGAGAGGTTAAGTAACTGACCCAAGGTTGTAAAGCTATTTAAGTTGCAAAAGAAAGCCTCATACCCAGGCCTCATTCCAAAGCCCAAGCTCCTATAACTGGTTCATGAATTTTACTCTCAACTGGACTGAAAAGCTGGAATCTTTTTATATGTCCATCTAGAAGGACTTTTTTTGAGGACTCATTTGTTTAACTGTTTCAGAACCCTGGGCATCCCTTATTGACGTTGTTGTTGCTGGATGCCATCAAGTTGGTTCCAACTCATAGCGACCCTGTGTGACAGACTAGAACTTCCCCTGTAGGGTTTCTTGGCTATAATCTTTAGGGAAGCAGACTGCCAGGTTTTTCTCCTGCAGAATGAAAGTGGCTGGGTGGGTTTGAACCGCCAACCTTTTGATTAGCAGTGGAGTGTTTAATCATTGTAGCACCAGGGTTCCTTTTGCTTACATTACAATGTCTTTTTATTATATGGAAAGCTGTTATCTAAGTGATACAGCCTACAGGGGATATAGAGGGCCGAGGACTCTCTAAACTTCAAGAGAATTGCATGAGCAGTCGGCACACTGATATCAGCAAAATTGTAGGGATATGGTAATTTCAATGCTGATCAGCTACAAAGCTGTTGGACAAATCTCTGCTCTTGAAATGAACATACTTAGTTAACCAAAAAACATCATCAACTAAAAGCAATTACAGCAATCACAACCTCAATCAAACCTCAAGCCTGGTAGCCATCAATCCTGAAATAATTCTTCTGGAAAGCCTGTTGAAAGTAATTTTTACTTCTTGGAAGCTGTTAAAATAAACACAATATCACACTTTAGAAAGCGCTTCCTTCACTTTAGAAATATTCTGCAAGATAAAAGTCTGTCTGTTTAATCTAAAAGGAGAGCCCCAGTTTTACAAGCTGGCGTTTAATCAGTAGCTGAGTCCCACTGGCTTCACACAGACTTCCATGAGGTCCTTTATCTGGAACTGCTAAAAGCTTCCTCTATACTCTGTGACCTAATATGCGACAAAACAGATGTGGGTATCCTTGTCTGACCACTATCCTAATATGAATGAGAAACTGTGGACTTAAAAGGATGCCATCACATACACAAGATCTTCCTTTATTTGGAGGCTTAATTTATGCTGTGAATCCTGACAATTTTACAAAAGACACATAAATGTTTCCTCAGAGAACTATGATCTGGAGAAAAGAATTTTTTCACTGTAATCTTAGTGTGGTCATTTAAATGTGTGTGAAAACAGTGGACTTTCCCCCTTTACATAAGCTTCCTGGTGAGGACCAACAAGGCCCCAGTCTCATAAAAATACAGTCTTTGCAGAAATACAGATTCTCAGGAAAAGAAGCTCTAGACAGGGCATCCCAGAGTCTGCTTGCCTGAAGGGCAAGCACAATCCACATATTTACATAATTTTATTATGACTGAATGAATTCCGAACCTAGAAAGGATTTTGGATAATGAAGACATCTTAGATAAATAAACTTCAAATTAAAAGCTGAATGTTAGTTAACTGCTTCATTTCTTTCCCCCAAGCAAAGGGTAGAAGTATTTTTTCCAGCTTATTTTTGACAAGCCAGACTTTCTCCAAGGCACTATTAACCAGTCTGAACTTGAAGCAGAAAGAATAAGATGAAGGTGGCAAAATGACCCTAAGCAATGGATCTATCCTTACCTGAAAATGGCTAGCCTTATTTGAAAATGGAGTACAGGTCTCTAGATAATCAATATTAAGATGAGTGGAAAGGTTTTTTACTCTTCTTGATCTAACATATCTTGATCAAGAATCCATCTCAGTTACCAGGATTAATAATCACTTTTGGATGGAAAGACAAACTCCCTAATCTATGTAGACTGTGTACTCCACAGAATGTAACCTTAGGTACCTGTCATTCCAGAGTCCCTGGGTGATGCAAACTGCTAACATGCTTGGCTGCTAATTGAAAGGTTAGAGGTTCACATCCACCCAGAGGTGCCTTGGAAGAAAGGGCTGGTGATCTACTTCTGAAAAATCAGCCACTGAAAACACTACAGAGCACAGTTCTAGTCTCAACACACATGGGGCTACTCTGAGTCAGAACTGACTCAAAAGCAACTGGTACTGGTACCTGTCATTCATATGCCTCATGTCTGACCACACACCCTCCAAGCATCAGAATGGATGCAAAAGTTGCTATAAATTATGAAATATTTCCTTGTGCTTAATCTGTCAAGATTTGATATTTCTATCTATAATTTTTCTGATTGCTTTATTCTACAGCACTCCAATAGAGCTTAGTTTTTTTAATAATTCATGCCTCTATAAAATAGCAAAAGAATAAACAACATGTAAGAGGTTTGCAGGCAGGTACGCTTCCACAGGTTCCCACAAAAAATCTGTTTTCCAGAAATATAAAAATTCAGTTACATGCAAAGTCATCTGACACCTTCTTGAATCCGCTTCACATAAATACTCTTTATGCACTATTCTATTCTAGTGCTTATTTTCAATTCTATTATCTTTCCATATAGTCTTTCATAACTTTCCAGATACTTTTCTGTGACCCTGGGCTGCCCAGACACTTTTAACAACATTCATTTGTCTTATCTATCAGATCAAAAAAACAGAATTCACCTTACAAATATTTGATCTAAGGCAGTGGCAGAAATTTAGAGCTACATTACATGGTACAATGATAACATTTAATACTCAACCAAAGGCACTCAATGACATACTTAGAGTGGCTTTGGGCAAGAGCAATTATTATGGCTTTCACTGTATCACTGTAATTTGTTTGAAAAATATGTCTTTACTGAAGATAGTACTTCCACATTTTGTACCCAATTAATATCATTCTAAAATAACTCTTGACCTCAAAAGTATTCCTAAACAGTTACAAGATTTGAAGTGGTAAGCAGAAAAACCACCAGCTAGGGGAATCTAAAGACCTAAGTTTTAGTTGTGGCTCTACCTACAACTTAGCTGTCACCTTGGGTAGGGCATTTGGCTGCTGGGGCCTAAGTATCTTCAACTGCAAAACGAAGAAATTTGAACTAATTATTCTTTAATGTCTTTTTCAACTCAAAAATTCTATCAATCTATAAAGTTTCTGTCTATTCCAATTTCAAAGACAAGCAGCAGATGACAGTGGCAAATTAGCCTAATTTTTGGCAAATTAACTGGGGATGCTTTCTTGAGTTAACGTTTTTATTTAGGAAAATAAACCCCACATGAAATCGAGGTTGAGAAAACTGGAAGAAAAAAAAAAAATCACACACTGACGTAGTTAAAATAGAAACTGAAATCACCCTTAGACCAGTTTGTCAATAGTTATTCAAAGGCTGCCACTGGCTTCTTAAAATAGTAACACATGTAGTCGAGTTGTTTATTTCTCATCTTCAGAGATTCACTTCGAACAAAAAGCAGAGCGTCTAAAATCAATTTACAACTTCAGAACAAGTGGCGGGGAGCGAGAGAAACTCTGCACTGCTCTCCAAGTCATTTGCACGTTAAGTATAACTACGGCTAAGAAACGGTTCTGATTATAACGTGAGAAACGCACAGGAGGCAGGTGACATCTGGAAAGGGAGGCAAAGCTGCCAAACAGGGTGATGGAGGCTGAGGACGTTCGGGCAACAGGTCCAGTGCCAGTACCGCAGCCTCCTCCAGGAGGGGTCGGTCGTGCCACGCCGCTGGCCGCCCTCCCCGGCCCGGATGTCGTCGCCTCGCCCCCGCTTCGGCCCTCCAGAGGCAGCCCGCCCATCCTACGCCCCTGCGGGAGAAACCTGCCTTGCCACTCGCTTCCCCGGTCTCCCGAGCCCGCCAGGCCCTCCGATCCTCGGCGCGCAGCCC